CGCGGGTCGCGGTCCCCCGGCCAGCTGTAAGGATACGAGTTTGCATTAAGGTAGCTAAGAGATATACATTAGGGTGGCTGAGGGACTGCACGTCCCAACACCCCCGGAGAAGGAAAAACAAGACGGGTGCCAGCCCAGGCCCCCACGGGAAGTGAACAGCACAGGAAGCGACGCATCAAACCTCAAAAACGTGCCTCAAAACTGTTATTTTAAAATGATTTATTTGAAGGGCTAAAGCTGCAGCAGCCTCCTGCGGGGGGTGTTGGATGTGGGCTCGTCCAGAACCGCGGCACGAGCTGCTCCCGCACACGCACTCCAGGCGGGATGGGGGGCTCTTGGCACGAGGGAATGGGCAAAGCCCCGTTCTCATGGCCCGCGGCCGGAGTTAGTTAGTTTGTTTCTAGCCAGGTTCCACCTGTAAATGGAAATTCTGCAGTGGGCGTCAGCGGGGAACAGAGGCAGATCCCAGCAGGATTAGCGCTGAGTGAGTCTCTGGGAGACAGGAAAGGCAGTCAGAACAAATACCTCACTGACAAGCTTATCGGAGCACAGGAGGGAAGGATTGGGGTAGACAACTGACAACTTCCCTTTAATTTGTGCCATTGCTCCCCCCAAAACTGGGTTCTGAGGGTTCTGAGTGTGGATATCACCAGTGTTTGTCCAAATGAGTCTGTACGAGGGCTGCTACACCAGGCAAGATATGAATCAACTCTCAGTTGCCTGGAGGGCATGTCCTGCAAAGCCGGACCCATGTTTAGAGTTGTAAACCTTGGTACTGCTCTAAATAAGTTTCCTGAGAGACATCATAATCTGGACTTAATTTTAGTAAACTTAATGATCATTACAGAAAAAACTTTAGAAATAGGCCAAAGTGCAACCTCAGCTTTGAAAAACCTGAGACCTGAGTGACCTGAGTGGGATAAGTGTGCTCTGAACACAAAGCAGGGTGCCCAAAGCATCACACAGAGCTCCCCTCGGCACACGCAACTTATCTAGAGAGTAACAGGTTGCAGACTCTTCCACATGAGTGTACATTAAAAGGACTTCAAATCAAAACTTCTGCTGACACAGAAGATCCCCTTGTGTGTAGGTCCAGTGCTTATACTTTTTCTTTCCCTGACGAAAGGAACAGGTGTTTTAGTAGCCACTTTCTGAATGTACAAATAATTATCAAAATCCCCAGTTGATTTCTTAAAATGAAGAAGCATTTCAGTGCTGTGTTGCTGGCAACAGCTGAACACGCCACCTCTGCCATCCTGGTCAGGCTGCTCAGAAGTACTGCCTGGAGAACCTATGGAACAGCAAGGATGGTGTCAGCTCCACACAGGTGTCGGGAGGACTGGCATGATTGTCACTCACAGCCAGTCACCCCAAAGTGTCACCCCCTTCTTTCTCTATGACTCTTCCCTCTGTAGCTGCATCCCATGTTAAATCCTGTTTTCCCTGGATTCCAGTACTTACTGTGGCTGTTAGTGATGTATCAAGCTGTAGCCGTCAACTGTAACATAATCAGGATCATCTAAAATACAGCACAAAAATATTAAACCTGCTCAACAGTGCTTGGAAGAGCTTGATGCTTGATGTCAGAAAAAGACAAGACCAGTCTGCACTGCCCAGCCATGGTAAAGGGATGGGAGGCAGGGATAAATGGAGGCTTAACGAGCAGATTTGCCTAGAACCCAAAACAGAGTCCCACTGGAGTCCCACTGCGGGTGTCAGCACTGACACCCCCAGGTAACTCACCTGGCCCGCTGGCTGGGGGTGGTAAAGGTCCCCTCCTGCACAGAAAGAAACACAAAGCTGAACATCTGCTGCAGTATTCCCCACTTTCCTAAAACATCTGTTCAGGCTGTTGCTGTGATCGTGTGACACCCCACACTGAGCTTGTGAGAGGACAAGATGTTTGGCAGGCCTGGCTTTTACAGAGATCTGTTTCCAAGTCATTCCATGGTTCGTTAACCGTCAATAGCCTGCTTGGCAAACACGGAAATCAACACCCGGGATAAAGCCCGGGAGAAGAAGAATAACCAAAAAGCAATGAGTTGGCAAAACATTTACATGAGAGCCTTGGGGTATGACACGTGCACTTGGCAACATTTTTACCTGCACACTGAGACATCAGACAGTCATAACTGGGCATGACTCACATAGTGATTCAGCAGCCCAAGTGGGACACTCACCTTTAGCAACAATCTTTAGCCCTGAATCCTCCTCTTCCTTGTGGCAAAAGCATCCTTCACTCCACCCTCCCTGCCCAGCATCTGCCCTGGAACGGTGTTTTTCTTGTCCTCTCTCACTGTAGCTGATGTTGTTCTTTCCTCTACCCACAACATGTTTTCAACTGATCCCGGCCTCCTCAGCGAGGCAGACAACAAGGCAGGGAGAGGAGAACCACACAAGCAAGCCCAGGTTTTAATCAGTTGTGGTAGATTAGGAGTCCCACGCTCTTTAAAGGATCTCTGATTGTTTCCAGAGACAGCGAGACACAGTAAGACACTCCCAAATCAGGATTCCAACAGATTGAGAGCAAGAATATACTTTTTTTTTTTTTTGGGAGAGCTTCATTGTACATTAAGTCCCTTACCTTGATATAGGTACAGGAGCTGGACTTCTCACGGGTGTTGCATTTCTCTGTGCATTATAGTAGTTCTCATAAACAACAGGAGCTAGGGAAAATTCACAACAGTAGGGTATAGACCTTGTGTAAATATGAACTAATTGGCTATACCAATATCCAGTTGCTAAGCCTTCCCCCCTTCCCTCAAAATATGTCTGATTGGCTTAAAAACTTCAAAAGTAGAGAAAGGGGAGATGTTTTCAGGGACTGGTGATATGTGAGTGGCAGAGGCACTAGTGCTTCTTGACAGAGAACAAATGGAGGGACATTAGAAACATTTTTTTTCACCCAAACTGATCCTACTCAGAGCAACAAAACCATGAGGAGGAAAAACAAGTCAGCACTACTTTAGGAGACTACATTGAGCTCTTACCTGGAGCCAAACTTCCAGTTTTGCGTAGATTTACAAAAAAATCAATATCCTTCTCAATGCTGCACATTTCTAAACTCTTGCGGATGTCCTCATATTTCTGCAAAGGAGAATTAAAAAGCATGCTGTACATCACATTGAAAAGTAAGCGTTTTGGTGTTGTTATTTTAAATCATTTATCACGCCTGGGGGGAAAGCATAGTGTTCACCCCTAGACACAAGTTTCAGTGGTAGAGGAGGCGGGAGGAAGAATTCTCATCTGTAAAAACTGGCCCAAATCCTCCCACCTGCAAGTTGCTGTTGTGGTCTGGCCATCAGCTGATCAAAGGCCACAGGCCAGCACAGCCATAACACAGTCCTGTGCACAGCAAAGCAAATGAGGCTCTGCCTTCCCGTTGCCAGCCTCACCAAGGAACTCCTGCATAATTGTTGGCAAAGTCACTTCCTGCTACATTTCCTCATCTTTTTCAGCCAGGAATTTCTTAGCCAAGGTGAACAGTAATTGGGGAAATAGATCAGAGCAATGAAGATTGTTGTCTGTGACTTCTAACCGTTAGGCCAAACCCTACCAGCTGCACTGAGGCTAAAGCAGGTAGCAACAGCGAAAGCAATGGATGAGACCCTGCAGCAGCAAGTGAAAAGAGAGCTGGTGTGGGAATCTGCCCAGCTGTTCAGGAAGATGTATTAGCCCATGTGTAACACAGAGCCAGCCCACTGCTGGTGCCTGTCCAGAACGGATTAGTTTTCCCAGTACAGGGAGAGCCAGGGACTTAGCAATGCTGATTCTTTGCAAGTGGGTTCATTGCAGTGTACCCAGTTCTACCTGTTTCTTCCTGGCTGCTCAGAGTGCTCCAGCCCATTTTGCATATCTCCATATTAATGTGGAATAATAAAGAATTGGCTCTGTGTGCATGGATATGCTCATAAGCAACCTGCAAAACTTGTGGAAGTGATATAATCACAGTCACATGCAGGAACACACATCTGCTCTTGGGAGACTGGATTTCATAGGAGCAATGTGTTCCTTCTGATACATTTTCATTCATATACTGCTATCTATTTTCTCACAATTACTTCAACAACAGATATTCAAAATAGCTTACACTGAAAGGGCCCTGACTGTTACTACGGTCTGACAAACACCTGGGCAAAGAGAACCCAGATGAGTTCTTCATTCCTTCCTTCTTCAGAGAAAGACTTCTCCAAAGCAGGAATTGGAAGGTTTGGAAAGGATTTGGTCTGACTTACCTCGTCATTCTGGACACAGTCCAGAGAGAGCTGGTTGGTGTGAAGCCACAGGGCATTGCGGAAGTAACTGATCCGCTCACACTCCTGAGTCTCAAAAAACTGAAAGGATGAAGACAAAAGAGGACATGAGGCTCCCCTGTCAGCAGGGTGAAAGGCCACAACCGCAGTGGGGACTGGTTCTCTGAGTCCAGCTGCTCACACATGTTCTAACTATCAGCGCGACCTGAGTTCACATTTCACCTCTTGATCACGTATTAGTCTTGCCTCTGCTGTCTGCCAGAGAACTACTAAGTAAGGAAAGTGGATGTGAGCAAAGGAATCTCTGCCTGCTGTGATTCTACACTGCAATGAGTCTTTTCATCAGTTATACTTTATGTACATACACATATGCATTATATATATATGTATTCAGTTTGAGTTGTCACAGTGAAGTAACTATTCTAACCAGATGATGGCAGCACCAAACAGGCAGGTGAGTAACACACAAAAAGGTCACTGTGTTTAAAACTGATGAAAAGGGGAAAGAAAAGCAGAAAGAAAAAACAAAAGGAAATAAAATAAACAAAAACAAACAAACAAGCAAATAAAAATCAGAAACCTTGAAGTAGTGGGACCTTAAGCCCAGAAGCCAAGCATTAGAAACATGCAGATTACCTGCAACAGGTCCTACTACATTACCATGGAGGGAATAAAAACCAGAGGGGAAATGTGCTCTATCCACAGCCCTGGCAGTGAAGGGAAGGAAGCTGGAGGGCCCCACTGCAGCAGGAAGGCCTCTCAGCATTTACCTCACACGCTTTGATGTGCTCTTTCTGCCATTCTTCCCGGATCTTCTCCAATGCAGCAATATTCTGCTGATAACTTCTGTCTGTGATGGAAATCAAATTGGCAATTCATTTTAAATCAATTAATTAATAAAAAAATGTATGTGGAACATCCAAGCAAACAGTTCTTAGCAATGCAATGAATACGGGCAGAGAACTGTCGACCATCTGCAGCGCACACTGTGAAGGGGACATCGTTTGGCAAATGCATTTCCATTCCTTCTACTTCCCTGCAGCGTGTGAAGGAGATTCCTTGCACTCATTTGAAGGCTTAAAAGAGCCTGCACTACCTGATTTCCTCCTCCGGTGTGCAGCCTCATGGACTTGATGTTCACTTATGTTTGGGCCCTACGCAGCCTGCCCCCCAGCAAGCCAGAGAGATGGCTCCTCATTGCCAAGTTTTGGCAGTATTCAATCCTGCAACGCCAGGCCCTGAGCAACACATCTCCTGAGGTCACCGTCAGCACAGGAGACCCATGACACTGACACAGGGCCAGAGCAGAACCAGGAGCTCTTCCCCTCCCCTCCAGCACAGGTCCAGGTGCTGGGCTGGCACCATCTGCCCCGCCAGCCTCAGTGCCTTGTCCCTATTGCTGAGGGGAGAGCGAGAGAACAGTCATGGTGGGGCCATGCAGGCAGGGTGACAGAGGCTCCTCCAGGACAAGCTCCCGCCTCATGTTATCTCCGGAACATGTTTCCAAGGAGATGCAGCTAAAACAAGAGCTAGAGCTCACCCCAGCATCCTAGGGTTTCATGCCTCACAAAGTGACACTCCTGCCACAGGAAACGCTCCATCTGGTGCACCTCATTTTGACACTCACCAGAGTCCTCCAGAGCTGACTTCGTCTGAGCCAACTTCAGGAACAGCTGTCAAAAATAGGAAAGAGAACAGAGAAGTAAGACAGCCCTGGTACTGGGGAATATTAGCATCCCTCCCACCCCATCTCACCCCCCAAAGTTGAGAGAAGAGACACAAAGCAAATTCTGACCATCAAGAGGTACCAGCCTAGATAGCAGGGAGTCTCCCATGCAGCACAACACTGCATAGAGGTGTAAGTGCTTCCCAGTGTAGAGCAGGACTTTGAAACGGCACAGCCACCTGCTCCACTCCCTTCCATTTCTGCCCCTTCCCCAGGGCCACCTGCCTCCCTTTACCTTCTCCTGCTGCTTCTGTGTGACCAGGTTTGCGTTGCGGTGCACAGCTTGCTCAACCCTCGCATGCACGATACTTTAGAGGAAAGCACAGCCTCAGAATGAACAGGCTGGTGGTGCAGGCAGAGAAGGGGATGGGACTCAAGTTCACACATGTCCCCGGCCTTTGGCATGGGCAAAATGACAACACAAGCTACTCTTTGCTCAGGAAGAAAAGCTCACAGTAACTGAGTCCATGACATTTAAATCACTCTTATCTGAGCCTGCAAAACTGCCAGCAGCTATTTTCCTTGCTCTTCCGTTTTGTTGAGTGTGTTCTGCACACCGTTCATGCAGGCACAACAGTGTTCAGACACAGGGGGAGGCTCTTGTGATTAGCTCTGCCCCAGCTCCGTGCTCTTGCATTTTAACTGTGTTAACTCATATAGCAACAAACAACTGCGTACAACACAGATGCAGTGTGTGTGCCTGTGAGCTACAGTTCTGCTGCACGCAGAGCAGCACGTCTGCTTTACCTCCATGGTCTTCTTGTACTGCAAATTCCTGTTTTTGTGAATCGCCTCCATCACAAGCTCTATCTGTGAAGAGAAAAGTCTTAGGTCAGTGTGCCCCTCATGCGAGACTCAATGGGCCAGCACCACTTGTGGTTCTGGGCGAAAGGCAGGGAGACACAGCCAACGCTCCTGACATGTCCCAGATGTCCTGAGCAGGGTACCTACACCTGCAAAACCTTCTTGAATGGGCCTGCAGTCCCTGGCACTAAGCTCCTGTGAGCTGGTGTTGGCCCTGGCAAAATGACAGCACACAGCCCTGAGCAGGAGGAAGTCAGAGCTTGCTGCATATTTGACCAGTGCGGTTGCAACATTTAGGAACAAACTCTGGACTTCCCAGAAATGACAAGCCCTTGACAGCAGAGAGGGGGCTGGGGCACAGCAGCAAACATGGGCCAGGGCAGGAGCCCAGCATTCCTGAAAGCCCTGGTGCACCCTGTAGCAAAGGTACCGGCTCCTGCGTCTCCCTTAACTCCTGACCTTCTTCCGATGCAGTTTTTGCTTTTCCCTGAAATCCTCCATTTTCTTTGCTTCCTCCCGTAAGGTTTGTGCCAGCTGGATGTGACTTTGCCCCACATTGTCTACTTCTGTAATGAAAAAGAAAAATCAAATATCAGCCTAAGACGACTGTGTTTTAACTGACATCAAACTGACCCAGGAGATCCCTTCCATTTGGGGTCCCTGATCATCACAGGCCTCACCTCAAACATCCCCTTGCAGAAACATGAAAACAATGGCACTTTTAAAACACCTTCCAAACAGAGCCTGTCTATGTAAAGAGTTATGCAGGATCAGTCATGCCAAGGGCTGCAGTTCGGCTTAATAAAATTGATGTTCAAACAAAGTTATTCAAAAGAGCACACTTACCCTTCTCCTCATCCAGATTAATTCAGGCGTGTTTCAACGCATCACAAGCACTAAAGCACTTGTCTGGAATAGGCATTGCCCTTGGCTAGGAGAGAAGCAACCTGGGTACTGAAAATCTGTTGCTAAAGCTTCAGGCTCATCTTCACCATCATGCTGAGCTGACCCGGCTGAGGGAGAGCGGCCAAAACCACAAAACAGTTGCCCATTTGCAGCTCATGAAACTCATGGAGCTAACCCAAACTGCAGCATGCACTGCAGCATGAGCCCTTTTTTGCACTGCTCTCTCTCAATTCCACAGCAACCCACGGCTATTAATGGAGCAGCTACTGCAAGGACAGAGCGCTATGGACAGATCTGCTGTGGTTGTGCAGAGCACTGGCCCTCTGTGCACTCCTGTGGCCACTTGCTTACATATTTGCACTGCTAAATTAAAGCTAGCACATATGCATTTATGCAGGCAGGCCAGCTGGCTGCCTACACCCAGGGCAGGAGGTGGCAGATGGGCACCCCTCAGATTTGAGTGCCCAGCTAGAAATCCTTCACAAAGAGCCTTTTTAGGCACAGGAAGAGCTCACAGGACCCCAACTTCTGCTCAAAAGCCAAGCTAGAGCAGAAGAGCAGGAGGGAGACAGGCTGCTACCAAGGAGTCCTGGCAGGGTTTGCAGGCCTAGCAGGTCTAGGGATAGAGAAAATGCAGCTGAGCTTTTGATGTTCAACTTCTGAAATATAATCTAAACACAACTTCTGAGCTCCAGTCAGCCTGAAAAACCCAAAAGAGCCCAGGAGGGTAGCCCCACAGACGAACCTTCCTTCTCCCGCTTTTGTCTGGAACCCTCCACTCCTGACTCAGTCTGCTGGGCTGTTGGTCTCTGAGGGCCTGGGCTAGGCCAGGAGACCCATATGTAGGGTCTCGGATAACCCCAGGGATCATTTCACCACTTTCTCTTCTCCACACATTTCTATGCGTATTACTGAGCAGACACTTGTGAACTATCTACCCTGCTTCTGGTACCCAAACTACCTCTGTCCAAACTCATTCAGGTACAGGATGAACATCTCAAAAGCCGGGATAAGTGCTGGAGGTATTTGTGAGCATTATGAGCCTGCAGTTTGTGACACACTCAGATAATTCAGGTGTGACACTGTTCATACACTTTCCTCAACTTGCCTAGAAACCACACAGCTGGAGGAAGCTCTGGGGAAGCCTAAGGAGAGGAGAGGGGCAGCAGGTTGCCTGAGAATTTACAGCCTATGACTGATCCAAGTATCATACAGTTTTGGAGACTTCTCTAATGCTTGCTTCCCAAGGAGCTAGCTATTGGCTTCAGTGCTGCCGAGTATCTTGACAAACGTGAAGAAGTTACTTACGTTGCTTAAAAACATCAAGAGATCTCTTCAGGGTGCTGAAAAACATGGAGACAATATTAGAAGAGCAGGAAAGCACCATCCAGCCCACTGCAGGCTTCACCAATAGTAACAGCAAAAACAAACACTTCTCATAAACTGGTGAGCGAGTTCCTGACTGGATACTGGCCAAAGCAGCCTGAAGCAGGTTTATTTACCACTTTTACACTGTTAGTTTTTCCCCTCTAAGTGGGTACAACACAGCTCAGTGGCTCAGATATCTCTTTACCTAAGAATCTCTTTACCTAAGAGTTTTTCCAAACACTGAATATAAATGCATGTTCTGACTTCCAAGATAAATGTTCCAAGCAGCCTCCCATGAGTACCACTTGGACATATTAACATTTTTTATATATGTTTTATTGTCCAGTGTTTGGAAATTTAGGGAAATTTTCTCCCTGTTTACATACGTGGTGAAAATTCCAGAAACGATTTTAATAATAATCAAAAAAAACCCCATAAACAAATAATCAGAAGATATCAAACTGAGCATGGGTGATGTACAGGAACAAAAGAGGTAAAAGAAGCTGCCAAAAGTCCTTGGGGAAATGGAGTTAGAGGACTGGGGACAGTCCTCTTGGTTTTATTCCAATTCCTTATGGGGGATTTAGCAGTGAGATGCTCTAGGCTCTCCTCATCTTCTAAGGGCTTATTTAGGGAGAGCTAGCAACACCATGTGCTTCAGAGCTAAATTTTGCTTACAGCTTGCCAGGTCAGAGCCAAGCACAGTGACACTGCTGCACGTGCACAGTTTGACTCAAGGAAATAAAGGTCCTTCCTTCTGGCTACAAAAGGCCAGGAGCAGAACACAGGTCTCCTGATCCTCACCTCTCTGCGTAACCACCAGACTGCATCTCATCTGAGTGTCCACGTAGTTAGTCTATAACTGAAGGAAGCTGGTGGAGTCCAACTCAATTACTGTCAGATACCAGCCTAACTGAGCCCCTCTTCACTCACAGGACTAAATTCAGAACATCTTTTGGTCACTATTGCATCTCATTCTCCTCCTCCTTCATTGTTCCAAACAATGCCCATAAAAGCAAAATGCACATGTGGCTGAACTTACTGCAGCTCTGTCTGCCCACAGGGCTTCTTCTTTGATAGGTTAATAAGCTCTTTACCATATTTTTCTTCTATGATTGCTCTGTTGAGGAAAGATGGAAGTTAGAGGCAACTCACATTTCAGAAACTGTTGTCAACAGAAGTCAAGAATGGCAGGGATTTCCCAAGAGATGTCCCCTGAGTATAGACAAGGGAATAGTGGATAAGCAGAACACAATCCCACAACTGCAGCCAGGGTGCTAGCATTTCCATACACACCCCATGCAATATTCAGACTCCTGCCCACTCCTGACCCACTGGAGGTTGTACAGGAAGGGGATGCAGTCCCACTGCTGGGTCAGCCCGCAAGGAGTGAAGATGGGTTCTTATTAGATGCAAATCTCCTGCCCTGTCCTAAGGACACATGGTTGATTCAAATAAGGGTCTATTGGCAATTAGCCAGCAGCCAGTATAATGCTCTAATGAAGCTACACTTTGCTGCAGCTCTGGTACCGGTGTGCACCCCTCCCAGTAGCTAGCTAATGGTGTGCACCCCTCCACAGGTGTTGGAGGACTAAGCGGGCTCTGCACTGCAGTTGGGTGAGTCAGCTGAGTAGTTTTTGGCTCAGTTTTCTAAGGGATCAAGGTTTGTGTGATCGCATTTTTTCTCCATCTTGGTCATCAACCTCTGTCTCACCATCACACAGGTTGCTTTTCAGTCCATTGCCTGATGTCAGCCCAATGTGATGGAAAGGATTAGGGGATCTCAAAGACAGTTCAGTTGCCCTACCCTCATTCTAAAATTCAGCTGGGCCATTTAAGTGGGAGAGTTGTACAGAACTTTTTAAAATGAGACAATAGTTCCCCCCCCCCCCGCCCTTCTTGCCCTTGCAGACAACTTCTAAAGCCTAATCTTGCAGTGATAAAATCTAAATAATAAAATATTGATAAAATCTGACAAAACCTTGGAGACATCATAGTGTCCTCTATTCTTCAAACAGAGAGCTCAAAGACAATACACAAAAAGATCACAAAAGAAAAGATGTAGGTGGTGTATTCTAACAGCAGCCAGCCTTTGCAGTTGGTTTGAAATCTGTATGGATAATCAGGGCTGCAGGATAAACTGTTTCCTAAAATGCCTTAATCTCTAACTCAGAGGCAGATGGTGATATTGTTACTTCCACAGTTTAGGGGTGAAGTTCACTTCATTCAGCTCTTTAAACATTTCAAACCCTTTAGAGGAATGAAAAAAAAAAATGTATATGCTCCATATAGAAAAATACATCCTCCATATGAGGAAGAACTTGTTTGCTGTGAGGGTGCCAGAGCCCTGGCACAGGCTGCCCAGAGAGGCTGTGGAGGCTCCTTCTCTGGAGATCTTCAAACCTGCCTGGATGCCACCCTGTGCCCCTGCTCTGGGTGTCCCTGCTGGAGCAGGGGTTGGACTGGATGATCTCTGGAGGTCACTTCCAACCTCAACCATTCTGGGATTCTGGGATTCTGTGATAAGAAAGATTGTAAATTGGCTTTTTCCTCTAACAATTTTCTCATGAACTTTTACTTAAAACAAGGTATCAGATCCAACAAGCATGTCCCCTGTGGCTGGGACTGTGTAACAGTGTCATAGATGGAGAATTGTGCCATGTGCAGAGAGGGATGCCAGCAGCGAGCCTTGGCTCGGGAGAAGAGCATACTTGAGACAGTCTGAATTTCTGCAGTCTTCTCCTAGCTAGACACATGGACGAGGACCTATAGCACCTTCAACAGCAAGCATGAAAGGGGCACAAGGTGCAGAGCACGAATTCCATCTCTCTCTCTCGCCAGTGATGAGTGGGCTGTGGTTCTCATGGTTCAGGTACACAGCAGCGGGTTGCTTTGGCAGATAGAAAGCCCACATTTTGCTGGAACATGGGGTTACGGACTAGACAGAAGTAGGTGCATTAGATTTTAACTAGAAGTCCTGCTACTTTGCAATCCCACTGAATTTGTTCCAAGCTATTCTTTCCTAAGTTTTATATTCACATGTTTCCTCCAGTTTTGAACACCAAAATTACATTAATTCAGGTTGTTCTGCAACAGTCTTCATAATTAGTCATCGTAAGCCAAGTGAACCATAAAGCCAAAATATTACCATCTCAGTTACAGTTGGACTGATGGTCTCAAAGGTCTTTTCCAACCATAAGGATTCAGTTATGCCTTTTTAGCCACAGAACCTCCACATAGTTCAAGTCTTCTCATTAACAGACATACTATCTAATGCTGCTATTTCTTTATAACATAAAAGCTGTAAGCTGTCCACACAGACAAGAATTAGAAATTTGCAACTCTTTACAGATTTCCAATTCAGTCTGCAAATGTCTCCCATGTCAAAGTATTCTTGACTCTCAGCATGGTGAACTTCATGGCAGAGCATGACCCAGGCAGGCTACCAACCTCCGTAAACACTTGCCCTTCCATACGGATGCATGGCAACATGTAAATATTCAACTGCTCCTGATTCTGCTTTCTTTTTATCACAAATCATTCAAATCTTAGCATCGGTTGAGCCTGGGGCTGTGTAACTAGCAATACCAATTGCTTAATGGCTGAGGACTGCTGAGCAAAGGACCTCATACCACAATATGAGTCTTTAAGGAAAGGACAGTGTAAAAAGACAAGTTCATCATCATGCATAAATCACACATTTTACATAGCAAGTAGTCAAACACAAGAGAAAAAAAGAAAACAACACGGGGATACAAGAAATAGGAGTGACTGCTTCACTTCCGAGGTTCAATCAAATCCATTTTCAAAGGCAACTTAATACCTTTCCTTCAGAAAGTCTTCAAACTCTTTGCAGTTCTTCCTGCCGTCATTCAGGTGTTGAATGATGTTGTCATAGCCAACTGTACTTGTCAAATCCGTGCTCTGAAAACATAAGAACAGGAGTCACATCCCTATTGGTGCAATCCATTGCACCAGCAGGACTTATACAAGGATTGTGCAGGATTTACAGAGTCCTAGAGAGATATATACAAGAAATGGCTCAGCCAAGAGCCGATGTGACACTGCCAGTTTCTGTCTGGCTTATAAACCATACAAAAACATATAAACCTTGTGGTTTAGGCTAGGAGCCAGTTCCAGAATGAGAAAAGTGATGGCAATTCAGGACAAGACATTTTTATGCCTTCCTTTTTAGAAAATAGAAGTGCTCAGCTTACTCCTACAGCATCCCAGAAACATGCTCTGCCCTGGTTGAAGTACAGGCTGGTCCCAAGACATACCAAAACTCCTCCTTTAGTACTTGTCCCCTCCAAAGCTGGCATTTGTAGCGCAACAAAGATGAATGGACTGGAGCATCTATCATCTGAGGAGAGACTGAGCGAGCGGGGCCTGTTCAGCCTGGAGAAGAGAAGGCTGAGAGGGATCTGATCAACATGTTCAAGTGCCTGAGGGGAGAGTGTAGGGAGGATGGGGCCAGGCTCTTCTCTGTGGTGGCCGGTGACAGGACACGGGGGAACGGGTACAACCTGAGGCTCCTTCTCTGGAGATCTTCAAACCCACCCGGATGCCACCCTGTGCCCCTGCTCTGGGTGTCCCTGCCGGAGCAGGGGCTTGGACTAGGTGATCTCTAGAGGTGCCTTCCAACCTCAACCACTTTGGGATTCTGGGATTGTCCTTTCCATCCTGCCCCTTCTGAATGCCCACCCCTGTGATGTTTACCAATATATATATATGACAGTGATATCACCCCGTTCTTTCCTCCTAACTCTATTATCAGCTGTCTGAATCCATAACTCCATAGGACAAAAAGTGGATTTTTTTTCTGTGACTAGTCAAGATTTACCACTCTTTGGGGCTGGGCCAAAATCAGGACTTTAAGTGCTATGATAATACAAAGAGGGAGGCTCTGACCAGGAACTCTCCTTCTCCAAAAATATAAAAGGCCAAAGCATATGCAGAGAGCTCAACAGAAGCTGCTACCTGTCATCTTCTGCAAAAAGGACTGGTTCACGTTACACAGAAACAGGCTGCAGAAAGGAAGCAATGGCTAAAGCAGATAGGGAGTTCAGAGAAAGGAAGCAAAACCCACAAATAGTTATTAAGAAACTTAAAGAGGAATAATGGCAGGATGGAGAGATTCAGGAAACAGTTTAAAGCCAAGATGACTGTTTGCAGATAACCGGTGAGAATGTGAGGAAAGCAAAGGAAGGGATTTCTCAGGAGTTTGCATCCAGCATGAGCCGCAGGACTGGCCTCTGTAGCAAATCAAACATTTCATCATTATGGACTTCTCCAAAAGGTCAAAGAATTGGTCAGAAAACAAGAAACGCAGCAGAGATCTGCTGAAATAGGACCAGCTGGAAACCCCCGGGGATCACAGGTAAGCTTTGCTCTGTCTGTGCTGTGGATGGGCACGGGGGGCAGATTATGGAGCAGGATCCATGGGACAGCTGATCCCCAAACAGCTTCTATTTGTTTACTGAACGAGCTCACACGTGCCCAAAGTGGGCTTATTACTGAAAGCACACAGCTGGTTTGCAGCTCACGCTGCGTCTTTGCTAATCAGCTCTGTGAAAAAGGAAGCGCGTTTACGCTGAAATCGATTTTTGTGACTGTTGCAAAATTCAAGAACATCCTTGCTTGACTTCCTATCCTCATTTAAAGGAAATAAGAAAGAAGCAGAGAGCAACTACGTATGTGCTGCTTAGCCAGGCTCAGCCTGGGCACAGCAATTGGGCACTCTATGTGCGTAGAGCACTGGGGCACTGGTGCTCATAGTAGAGAGCTCTAGTCAATGAAATAAGCAGGGAATGAGCTCTCAGGATCTGCACACGCCATTCAGCTGGGGGTCAGGGATCCCCATATCCCAAATCCCAATATTTTTCCCAATAAAATAGCAACATTGATCCAAAAAGAGCCAAATAAATCCATCAGAAAAGTCTCAACTTCTTTTTCAACCTGCATGGCCCTGATCTCCTCCCCAACTCGGACGCTAACCATCCACAGGCAGCATGACTGCATTTTGGTTAAGTTGAACCCTGCGGAGACAGATAACAGCATAAAAACCAAGAGCTAATTGAGCCTGCACTAGCCAAAAGTCATCTCACACGCAAATATGGCTATAAATCTTGCCCCAAAAATAGAGGGACAGCCTAGAGTTCATCCTCTCCTGCACGGCGGCCAGGATCTCCACTTGAGCAAGGATGGCTCTCAAGGATACGCCTTGAGGCTGAAACCCCTTTCCAGCAACAGATCCATGGTAAGTGAGCTATAGCCTATTAAAACTTGGTAAACTTTGCTAAATTGCATGATTCGATTAAGTTAACACATAATGCGGGTTCTATCTAAAATAGAGTTTCTACCTAAAGGCGTCAAGTCAAATCTCATCTCCAGCAGGTCGCCAGGGAGATGCACAGCAGTGGTGGTGAAAGGCAGTGGAATATCTGCTCCAGAATGGTGCCCTGCTCCTTATGCAGGGCAGAGAGCCCTTAAACTCCTTTTGTCACGAGTGGGACACAAAGTTTTGCAGAAGCAGAGCCAATGAGCAATGACGAACAGGCACAGCTTCATAGCAGGCCTGACGCACAGGCCGGGAGGATTTTCCTCTGCTTTCAAGGGGCTTCTTCTCAATAATATCTCAGGCCACCGCCACTCATCCAAATTCGGCTTTCGTGCTGAAGAGATGGCCGAGCCCTCACTGGAAAGGCTGATGCTTGCTGGGTGTGCAAAGTGGAGAGGAGAAGGGAGGCTATCGTGGCAAGCACGAATACAGCTCTGGTTTGGGACATAGGCCAGGGCAGGGCTAGAGCAGTGGCAAGAAAGGCCCCAGCTTCCTCTCTCACAGGCTGTTTTGGCTGGCCCTGAACTAGGTGGTGCAGGCAGAGAAGAAGCCAAAACTCATTAAAAAATAAATAAATAAAACGGAAAAGGAAAAGGCAGGGTGTAGGAGCCTGTGGGAATGTATTGGCCCTGCACATGCAAGCTGTAAGGGAGCACATGGAAATGCAGGGGGACATTGAAGAAAAGGAGAGGCACGACTGCACTGCCGCACCGAGGGTTCTCTCTGCTCTTTGGGCCCCTTCCTCTTCGCCAGCAGCCTCTCCCCCCTGCTCGAGCAGCACGAGACCGTCACGGTCCTCACCACAGCTTGGGCTCCCTGCTGGAGCTATTAACAGACATGCTATTTAGGGTAGTGCCCATGGAAACTGCACAGAGATGATCTGAGGTGACAAAGCAGCAGCTGATGTTTCCAGAGCGTGCAGAACGGATGTGAAGGCCTGAGGGAATGGAAACTCCCATTCCAAGCTTCTCAAAAGCGCTCCAGGGCTCTGCTCGCCACAGCAGCGCTTGCCAACAGAAGCAGAGGCTTCCTGCTGCCCTGGTTTGCTTTATTCCACCCTTATATACTATATACTATACTATACTCCTAGAGAGTCCGTATGTGAGAAGGAATTTCTCTGCTAATGAATAACTTAGGCAAGATGAAACAATTTGAAGTTTCACAGAATAAAAAAGTAATCCACACCACATGTGGAAAAGTGACTTTTCTGTTCTGAAGCTGGATACTTCCAATTGGCATAAAATCACCCTCTGGGATTTAGCTTGCATTTTTATCTTAGAGGGGCTGAAATGCTGCAATATGACATCTGAAGCCATGGTGTGACCTTGCATGAGCCCTAATCTCCCCAGAAATAAGATGGGCACGAAAAGATTTGGTAAATGCAGCAGTTTAGTATTTGGTCCTGGCATTTTTTCAGCATGCCTGTGTATACTCATGCTCTTGATCCTCAGCCCTTCAACTTGCACTGACAAGTAAAACCTGAGCTCATAGCGGTGGGGCCAACAAGCTAAAACACTCAGCAAGAGGCACTGTGCTGCTCACGGAGACTGGGCTTTTACCTGAAATATGTTTATTTATGTAGAGGTTTGGTGTCTCTTCTCAGCCTTATGTGCTTAGAAAAACACAGCAGTAGAGAGTTCTATTTTGGTGGTCAGAGCCGCTGTGCGGAGATAAATGGCTGTGCTATTCTAGCTCGCAAGTGGTCAAGTCTTGAAGCTTCTCAAGGTCCTGCAGAGGTTATTTGAACCAGAAAAAAAGTCTTTACATCAATTTCTGCAGGGCAAAAAAAGTAGCCCCAGCACTTTTTGAGGCATCCCTTTTTCACAAGAGATTAAAAAATAAATAAATAAACAGATAGCAAGGCCCAAAACAAGCAGACAGACACAGTTCACTGCAAGTAGAAGCTGCTTTTTGCTCTTGTTAGTGCAGGTGACATAAAAATGCATGTGGTCCCTAGGGCAGTGGAGGTCCTTGGTTCACCATCCCACCACCATGCAGAAGGCATTACCTACCCCAGAGCAGCACTGACTGCCCTCCAAAGGCGGCCAGATTTGCTGGGTGAGCAGGGGGGTAGTTTGTAGCACCTAGTTGTGCATCTTCTCCCACAGATTGACATCCCACTCAGACACTCAACCTAAATTCAAGAGCTTGACAAACTGTAGGCACTTGGCTCCATGCAAGAAGCTGCAGTTTCACGTAACCAGGTGAGTACAATACACCAGCCAAAAGTATCTGAGAGGGAGGAACAGGGCTCTTGGGATATCCAGCCTCCTTAGAACTATACCATATGGAAAAGAGCATTTCAATTATTAATGCTTACTTATGCAAACTTATAAGAACTGTCCTTATCCTCTGCCAATAACTGTGCATCTTGCAAGTCCCAAATATGTAGGTTAAAAAAAGAATGTCAGGCCAACAAAATATGCAAGTCTGCCCATAAACCCCACCTCACTCCTTTTAAGCAACAGCCTGAGGATTTAATAGGACTAGTGATAACCTCTATGATAAAAAGTCAGTCCTGTTGTAGAGAAAGACAAGCGGAGTAGAGGGAAGTGAAATGGCACAGCCAATGTCACATTGTGAGTCAGTG